TTTCAAGACCAACACTGATGAAATTAGAAATTTGGCTAACAAAGTTAATGCTTCAAATGCTAAAGTTAAACCAAGTGTAATAATTAAATACTGTAAAGAAACTCTTGCTAAAAGACCTGAATTAGTAGAAGATAATGATATTTGTGATCTTCCTGGTTCCCAAGATAAAGATCGAGATTGATTAGATTGATTCTTTACTCGAGATCCTGAAATAGTGGTAGAAACCATTGCTTTACAAAAATTAAAAGTTGATAGCAATCTTAAAACTCAAATCTTAAATGAAATGAAAGATTATAAAGATAGTAAAGATAATCTAATCTTGTTAGATCGCACTGTTTATGGAGATGGGGAAAATATTACTGAACAAGGAATCATTAAATACTATGCAGAAAAGTTAGGAGGTCAAAATCATATGCTGAAAAAGTATGAAAAGCCCTTTAAAGATCAACCTCAACAATCAGAATCTTTCTGAACTTGAAGTAATCCTTGAGCCATCTTATCCGGAATTGGATTATTTACCCTAGGAATTGGAATTATTTGAGCTATCCATAAACGAAAAACTATCCTCCAATGATGAAATGCTCCTTCTGAATTAGAAGATGAGTTGGATGAAGATGAAGAGGAGGATTATTAATGATTTGATTGTTTATTCTGCCAGTCTTCTTTTCTTTCTTGGTTCATTATAAGTTGGGGTTAAGGGTCATTTATGGTTTACTATTTTTCGTTCTTCTTGATAAATTTCATAAGTGATTTTTTCTTGATCTAGATAGTCCTGGAGTGTTTGGGTATCATTGATTTTAAAAACATAAGGCGCAATTTTTTCTCCTTGAGCTTTCTTTAGAATGCTTCGAATAGTGCTGTAATTCTTGGGTTCCATAGTGGATTTAATGTAAATTAGTTTCATATTAATATTTTTATATAGGGATAATCCTATATTACTCCTATTATGGTTTATATTCCTCACCTTCTGGCATGATAAAGTGAGCATTAAAATTAACAAGTCATAAGTTATGAATGAGCACTATTATTACTTTTCAAAACGTCATCAGTCATACACTAGTCAATTTTACAGCCACATCATAATCAGCCTCTCATTTATGTTACATAGTCAAATGTTCACTTTGTCTGGTTTTGTTGCAGCATGCCCCATATAAGCTGTGGGTGGGTTGGACGTCATCATGTTGTATTTAGAGCATCAGCAGATCCGGGAATGGAGATGTTCAATGAACTATTGCAAATAAAGTCAAATAATATTCTCAGTCGCGACTATCTTGTTGGCCTAGATGAATTGTGTCGAGAATTATCTTTGCGCAATATAAACCATTTATGAAAATTGGCGACAATAAATAAATACATGTGTAAACTTTTATCCAGTGTAGTGTTCAAGAAAATTCTTCGATTTGCCAGCAGTAAAATAAAAATAGTCAGTATCAGTTAAACTTAAACTTAATTTAAATTAGCATACAGTCGTGTACCCCAGCTGGACGGATTTCCCTTATTGTATATCAGCATAAATCTACTTCACTCAGATATATCCCTATCCCCAAAATTCTATTTAAATAATCTGTACCAGGCTTGTACTACCAATTGAATATCATGCCACTTTTAATAAATCAGCCCACATAAATCAGCCCACACATAAATCAGCCCACATAGATCAGGCCGTAAAATAAACATATTAATATAATAATAAGAGAGGCAAGGTCTATTAACCAATAAAATTGCATGCTTTAAATAATAATAATGTTGCACACACACATATACCCCCACTCCCGAGGTACAAAGCTTTCCTTTGATACCCATTTTTAGTAATTGCAAGCACTGACAGTAACGACGTGTTTTTATTCCCAATATTGTTAATATTAATATTAAGCGCGTTTATGCTCCAATTACAATATATTTCTTGTCAGATTTACCAATCGCAATCAAATCGAAACAATTCCAATTGTTGTTCATACCCTTCTCGTAAACATTATGAGGACATTACAGTTATTCATCTTTTGGTCGCAATCGTTAGTTATTAATATTGAATCACGTAAATATATGACCATTGTTATTTCATTACTATTACGTAACAACAACAAAAAGGACAGAACTGTCTCCCCAAAAATATGTAAGTATGGATTTATAACGTCTATCGTCATGGTGCTTGGTGTTAATATTAATTTCTTTAAAGAGAGGAAAAGTAATTGACGGCCTTTTCACGATCGTATTTAGGACCCCCATGTTTTTGGTTACACTGGACCGGGGTACTCTATAACCAGATAGTTCAGATAGTTCACCACTTCTCAACGTCGAACTGTGTCATTCGTACTCAATTCATTGTTAGATCAACTTTTGTATAAAAGGTATCAATCTTTCGCGAGATGCCAGACAATTTGCGCGGGTTGTCGAATTATACAACCCTATTACAAACAAAAGAACCGATCTATTTTGAATTTAGGGAAAGCCTACATTCATAATACATTAACGAGAATGATAAACGAACACGAAGCAGCAATCGTAAGGACCACTGCCGAAGTCATAACGGCTACTTTCACAACAATGAGCGTTGCCAAACCCACGCCTGTACAAATACCTGCGGCTCCCTATACTCTATTCGCCGTAGAACAAAACCCAAACGCGTTTAGCGCAATACTTAAACTCTCTGATCCTTCAGCCTCCTCAAACTTTACCCAAGATATATCAATATCACCTCTTTCTCTAACTGTTTCTTACGAAACACCCTATCGCGTTCGAGTATGTATCTCTGATCGCGAGGAAAAACGGTGGCGGGTTCCTCAGTCTGTCGTGGAGGTGGACGGACCTCACGATAATAATAAAGAGTTTCGATACAAGTTTAAATATAACGTACATGAGGGCGAAACATTCGCGGGATTTTCTGTTAGCAGACAGAAGCCTCGTGAAGTTCTCGTAAAGAAGACAAACCACGAGTCTGACAGCTGCAGTGGGAAGGCACTCTTCGACTGCATAAATGAGAAATTTGTATTCAAAGACCAGTACATCGAAATCACGACTAAACTTGGAAAAGATAGTAACATCTATGGACTTGGAGAAATTGTTGGCCCATTAAAGAAAAAGGCTGGCGATCGTCTTACCTTTTGGGCTAGAGGTATGTAAAATGAAAAGAATTGAAAAAATGAGCTTGGTTATAAGCGATCACTCTCTAATTACTAATCATTATTCCTCCTCTACTTTAGATGCCCAGAATCCAGTGGGAGAGAATATTTACGGATCACATCCGTTTTACATAGAATTGAGGGACGGGATGGCACACGGTGTTGTAAGTAAATTTGAAATTGTTATAATTTGAGAGGGAATGCTCGTGAATGTCGTCAATTACGCAACATTTATATACGTTTTGGTGATAACAGAATATATATAACCT